TTATGGATGTTATCTACCTGGGCTTTTGTAAAGCCTTTGACAAAGTCCCTCACAACATCGTTCTCTCTAAATTGAGGAGATACGGATTTGATGGGTGACTGCAGCGGATAAGGAATTGGTTGAATGATCACATCCAGATGGTAATGGTCAACGACTCGATGTCTAAATGGAGACTGGTGACAAGTGGTTTCCCATCAGGGTTCCATACTGGGACCAGTGCTGATTAATATTTTCTTCAGTGACATAGACAGCAAGATTGAGTGCACCCTCAGCAAGTTTGCAGATGACGTCAAGCTGAGTGGCACAGTCAACACGCCTGAAGGATGGGATGCCATCCAGAGAGACCTGGACAAGCTTGAGAAGTGGGCCTGTGTGAACCTCATGAGGTTCAACAAGGCCAAGTGCAAGAATCTGCACCTGGGTCAGGGCAATTCCCAGCATCAATTCCAGCCAAAACCAGGACAGGGATGAAGGGACTGAAGGCAGCCCTGACAAGAAGGACTTGGGGGTTCTGGTGGATGAAAAGCTTGACATGAGCCAACAATGTGCGCTTGCAGCCTAGAAGGCCAACCATATCCTGGGCTGCATTAAAAGAAGTGCAGACAGCAGGTCAAGGGAGGTGTTTCTCGCCCTCCACTCTGCTCTGGTGAGATCCTACCTGGAGTACTGCATCAAGTTCTGGAGCCCTCAGCTCAAGAAGGACATGGACCTGTTGGAGTAGGTGCAGAGGAGGACCACAAAAATGGTCAGAGGGCTGGAGCACCTCCTATGAGGAAAGACTGAGTTTGGAATGTTCAGCATGGAGAAGAGAAGGTTCCAGGGAGCCCTTATTGCAGCCCTTCAGTACTTAAAGGGGGCCTACGGGAAAGATGGGTACAATCTTTTCAGCAAGGTCTGTTGGGACAGAACAAGGGGTAATGGTTTTAAACTAAAAAGAGGGTAGATTTAGGCTGGATATAAGCAAGAAATTTTTTACAATGTGGGTGGTGAAACACTGGAACACACTGCCTAGAGAGGTAGCGGAAGTCCCATCCCTAGAAACATTCAAGGCCAGGTTGGATGGGGCTCTGAGCAACCTGGTCTAGTTGAAGATGCCCCTGCTCACTGCAGCGGGGCTGGGCTACATGACGTCTAAAGGTCCCTTCCAACACAAAGTGTTCTATGATTCTATGATTCTATGGAGGCTGAGGCAAAGTGTGATGCTTGTGCCCAGTGAAACGGATGCAACAAGCTGCAGCTCCCCTGAGTGTACATTTGCCCGAGGCACCAATAGTTTCCAAATTAGTCTTTGCTTTGGGTCGATTTATTGACATTCTTTAAAGAGCAGTTATCTGAAAATTTTGTTCTGATCTCTGCTTTCTTCCTGATTTAATTTCATAGGTTGTCACTAACCAAGATGGATCTAGATGGCTTAGAGGATAATTTGTGGAGAAAATTCCTCTCTATTCTACTCTTTTATACACTCTTGAAAGCCATCAGTCTTTTTGATGAGTCGACAGTGACCCCTCCCACTGCACATATTTGGACAACAGATCTCAAAATGTCAAGCCTTATCCATGCCTACATAATAAAGGACTTGTCAATGAATCATGTGGAATGAGAATTGCTTCCTGTTAATGGTGATCAAGAAGGCAGCAGTGCCATTTTGCACTAGTCACATCAATCATATTCTCATTTTCACCAATATTCCTAAAAACCCTCTATCATTTGCAGAGCTTCTTATCGAAATCTATGGAGGAAGGAAAAAAAAAAAAAGAAGAGGAAAAAAGGAAAGGAAAAAGAAAAAACATAGGGCCATTCCATCTGAAGTCTGAAATAATTTATGCTGCTATAGCAATTTACCAGCATTGATCTCTGTGTAGATATCCACCTTACGTCAGTAGAAAAGGAATGAGGATAAAACATGGTCTATGAAATTGTTTTTCACTTGAGAGTTTTTTGACAGAATAAGATGCAGATAGTGCTATGAACATCTTTTCAACCATAATACATAACACCTTGAATCAAAAAGGACATGAAATCTAAAGCGAAGAACCTTTGGCAAAGGTGGGGAAGAAAACAGCAGAGCCATGGTAAATGAGAGATACAAATTTAACTCACTTTTCAGAGACAACTTTGTACAGATAAAGTAAAATTTCATCCATTGTCTTTGCATTTACCATAGGTATATATATCTGGCTATCAGGTTATTTGCTACAGAATTTCTGTGTTCTGTTGCTGTTTGAACCTTCTAGATGTTTTTATGCCCTGGAAGACAGTATCTTTGACTTCAAAGAAACTTGAACTATGCGGGTAATCTGCTATCTTCCATGATACTTCTGGAATAATCAAGTAAGCAGAATTATGTGCCTGTTAACTTTAGTAGATACTCTAAAAGATATTGTTCCACCTAATACAACAATTTAGCTGAAACAATAGTGACATAATTGACAAAATTACATAATAATTACAGTGCTTCAGTGAGCTATATTAAGCTATGACTCATCACTCAGTACATAAGAATGTACAGAACTACGTCAAATCCAGCAGTGCAGTGCAGTATAGCATAGCTGCAGCCAAAAACGAAATTTAAGATCAGCATTCTCTTGTTAATAAGGAGGAGGAAGGGAATTAATGGAAAACATGACTATGAATTTTGTTTTATTTTAATGAATTAAATTTTAAAAGCGACAAGGAATAATTGTACAATTATAATTAAGAATTACAACTTTTTTTAGGAAAATATTTAATACATTTTACTATTTGAACCTCACATTTCCTCTGGCAATACTTGTAATAGTTTGCTTTATTAAAAAGGGAGAACTATTCCACCCCTCAGTTGGGGAAATTATTTGTGAAGTAGAAAAGCAATGATGGGATTTTCTGAGATAATGATAATTTTATTAGAATACTACTTTATCAATGATCATTTTGAAACAAATGCTCCACAGTGTAAAAATCAAGCATAAAATACATAACTTCCCATGAAACATTTTAAATTATTTTCTACAATAGAATTCAATTGAAAACAATTCTTTTAACTGCAGAGGCTGAATATATGCATCTTGGACAAAACTGTCTTTAAAATTTCTTCTTTCAATAAGCCTTCCTTGCTATGCAAAAGGTATACATACCTTCTATCACTTTCCTATCTGTTAAGAATTTCCTTGATAATAAACATAATCGAGGTTAAAGATATTATTCAACAGCATAATGATACATCATTAGCAAAGTTACTATGCTAAGCTTTTTCTAGCAAAATATGTGATGGTTTGTACTTACCAGGTGTAAAATTGTACCGAGCAGAAAACCCGATAGATTCCAGCTCACCATCAGTAAAAAATTTAATCCATAGGAATCTGCCACTGGATTTTATCATAGGTGGATTTTGCTGTCCACAGAAACGTCCAATGATTGGGGAAAAACCAAAAGGTCCATCTCGTACTTCAATATGGTCAAATTTACACTCCCAAGAAGGCTCTATGGAATATTTTTCATCAAAATGTAGTTCAATGCATTGTCTAGGGGCAGCTAAAGAACAAAAAGAAAATTATTTTATTATTTTCTGAACCACAACCTTTCCAACCTAACGCAAAAGTAACGAAAATCAAACATATCAGTTTTGTATGCATTTTAATGTTTTGCTTAAAAACTTGTTTGATAATTAGTACATCTATATTTTTATAGATTTTATACCATCAGATTACTAGTCTATTATTTTCCTTTAAAAAAGTGGTCATGACAGCAGTTCCTAGTAAAACTAAGATATCTATGATGTGAAGCAAAATACAGTTTAGGAACAATTGGTTCAAACACAAAATCTTTCTGGGAAGCTTATGCACCTGGAAAACCAATGTTTTCTAATATTTGGGAGAGGAGGTGTTTAGTCAGAATATTTTTTTTCCTAATGCTTACATAGGCAAAGAAAAAAGTGATCAGAACTGCGCTATAGTAAGAAGGACAAATTCTGTTCCTATATGTATCGCAGTCAATGACAAGCCTGAGTGTAGTTACTTATACTTGGAATTACTTATTGTATCATTTGAAACATAAGGACAAAGGTAGCGAATTCTCACTTAAGAAACTAGATAAGGATGAAGCAAAATAAAGACAAGAATAAAAAATATTATACTGAAGACCTTGAAGAATCTTTATAGTAGCCACTTAATTAGACATAAAAAACATCTTTATTCATCGATATTCATGCTAGTGGCAGTCAGAATGATCTCTGAACCAAATATTCCCTGGCATCTCCTGTAGAAGAGAAATAGTTACAGGTTGAACTAAAGTATTTTCTTAAAAGCAGAAAAAAAAACCAACATTGTTTTGTCTACATATTTTAACAGATGCATCATCCCTGGTCTGCGCTGTTCCTATGCTTAATCCTGTCCGTAGCAAAAAATGTATGCCTTCAGTGTCCGGATCATGGTGCAGCATAGTCTTTTGCTGATGAAGCTTTCTGCTAAGACAAAGGTTTGTTGTGTCACTGCCTGCTGTGCCTCTCATGGGATCATGTGCTACATTTTACACATATTAGAAGAGGTTGAAATTGCTATGAGCTTTGCCTGAGTTACCATTCTTTTCACATGTAAACATGTAAGATCAAACTCCAACCTGAATGCATACGCTTAACATGGAAACTGCTGCAACTCCAGCAGTCAGTATCCTTCCTCTTCTTTCCTCAGGAATAATTGGAAAACTATCAGGGTGACCAGAACCTAGACCTTGTATGTATTTTGAAATGTTTTAAATGAAAGATTTTGGGATGAGTTCATTACTCTCATAAGGGAGACTATTTAAAATGAACTAAATAAGAAGACATTAGGTAAATCCTATAACCTTTGCATAAGAGCACACAGTCAAATCCCATTTTTAACTACATCATGTAAATAAATACAGCCCAATTTTAGAAGCATTGAAGAAGTTAATAAGACGTTATTTGAGAAGAAAGATTATTTTAATAGCTTTCTTTTCAACATTAATATGATTGAGTGATTGATGTTTACCGAAATATTTAGTTTAACATAAGAAAGAAACTTCATCTACTGTTCTCAGTTTGAAGAAATTCACAATTAAGGAAGTACTTACTATTCGTTTGTTGTTATTTATATCAATTTACAGGAAATTTCATAGAATCATAAAATCATAGAATGGTTTGTGTTGGAAGGCATCTTAAAGATCATGTAGTTCCAATCACCCTGCTATGGGCAGGGATGCCTTTCTCTAGACCAGGTCAAATTTGTGCTCTTTGTGCCAACACAAATTCAATAGCAAAATCAAAACCTAAAACTTTACCTATAGTTGCACCAAACTCACAGTCCATGGAAGTGAAACTGCTTTGAAAGTATGAAAAAAACTTACAAAATTAGAATCAGATAATAAAGGGTCTAAAGAAGACCTTATTAAAGCTACGCTCGGTGAGGTTCAAAGACCGAAGTAGACCTTTTAGACTATAGTAAAAGACTGAATAACCAGAAGACATCATCAGTTAATTTTACTCTGATGTTTCTGCCCTGGACTTCACATATTTACAACAAATATTGATTTAAACTTAACTAAGCAATACTAGGGCAGAAGACAGCAGTCAGGACCTTTTGATCTGGGATCATATTTTCTATGCTTTTATTCCATTTTAGGAGATTTTTTGAGAACTACTCGTCATTTACCTAGAGACTGCAGAGTCAGGTATCAGAAACTCCATCCTGACAACACTTTAGGTAATTTTAAGAATGCTCATTAAGGCTTGAAAATCTTATATACTCACTATTCAAATATTATGCTGTTAACCTATCTAAAGATTTATTGGAGTTTTAATGTTGCAAACCAGACATGAAGATAAATTCCACAAATATTGTCAGTGTCAAACACCACCAAACTTTCGGTGTTAGGCCTTCACTACTCTATTTCGTGCCAAGAGGAGGCTTACAATTGCTGGCCCATAGTTAAACCCTGAACAGGTCTTCTCTGAATCCAAGACTCATGTAACATATGATAAAAATGTGCATGAGGCCCCCTCTGAGTTATAGCTCAGTCATTTGATATGACTTTTGGTGTTGAAAAGGAGCCCTAAAGTAGATTATAGCCTCAGTAAAATATAAAAGGAGTTTTTGAAGGTAAAAGAGAATCTGGCCTCCAGAGTTAACTCATGAGATCTATTGACTTGGTGAAAGCACGGTCTGAGAAAAAAATGCACAGTTTTCACAACCTCCTTATAGCACTCTGAATCTCACATTGCAAACTATTTTAGGATCAGGATATTGCTGTAGTTTACTCTTCTCTGCTTTTACTTATTTTTCAAGGAAGTCAAGACAAGCTTTTTCCATTTTTCAATCACAAGCGATTGGGGAACGAGAGTCTTTTCATCATGTGCTTTTAAATGCAGCTCTGTGCTTCATCTTGTACAATAGTTAACGGTTAAATGTTTTGTTTGCAATAATCTACCTAAGAAATAAAATTATTCAAGTCATCCTGGAAATGACCATAAGGGATGAAAACACACAATTTGAACTCCCAACATTAACTTCCTTTTAGCGAAAAAGGTACCATTTCAGATTATACTCTGGCTTTAGCAAAAGGTTTCTTTGCCAAAAGCAAGGTAAACCAAGCAAGTGTTGTACAAATATACATCTTGTGCCACAGCTTTTGCAACAAGGTGTGTGTAAATGTGGTCACAGTAAAACTTACAGAAATACAGTGAGAACAAGTGCAGAATAATGACTAATACTAAGGTACATATCGCTACAGAAAAACAAAACACACAATCAAAAAGCTCAGAACATGCAGTTCTTCCAGACTGGATTCGAATCTGGCCATCTAATGAGAAAAGGAGGGATGGAGTGGTCATTTCTGGTATCCTTATTCACAGGTAAAGCCCATTCACGTCTTCAGAACTTTTTCTGTGGCCACAATGTCAGCAAAAGTTGTTGTCAAGTCTAAGTGAAATATACTGAAGCTGCCTCATAAAATGATTTTATTTGAAATCTTAAAAAAACTTCCATATTTAACTTTCTACTATCTTTCTTCAAAAATGTTTAATACCATTGAAAGTATACTTGATGCTTGCATGTCTTGTCATATTTTATTATCTAATTATCCTACACAAGTGCTGTCTCGAGATTTTACATTAAATAAAAAAAAGGCATTGGGTTCCAACTTGTGGTAGAAGAATTGTTGCAGCAAAACTGCACAATTCAGGTTTTAATTCTGATCAGCCTCTAAATCTGTGTAACTGACAGCTGAAGTTAAGCAAAAAATCTGTTTCAATTTGCCAGACTACATGGAAACGAGACATTGAATTCAACACCTACTCCCATCTATCTGAGCTGCTACAGTACTAATAGTTTTCAGTAATCCTTAGTCTTTCTGGTTGTCCAGCTATTATTCATAAGAAAGCCACCTATAGCCTCCTTTTAAAAGTGGATTCTTTTCTTGTTTTGATGAAAACTTTTTGAACACAAAAGTCCTGTGAAATACAAAGGCACTTTGAGCAGAGATTTTTCACACAGTAATACGTGACCACTTTCTAACACCCCTCAAATATCTAGGATTAAAGAGTTTAATGGTCTTTAGTGAAAACACGGAAGACTTTGAAGACAGCAAACTCTAAATGCCCACAAACATATGAAGTGGAAGATTTATTTCATATTTCAGAAAAGCAATTCTTGTCCATACCTATATTTACAATTAAACATTTAACTATTAAAAGCTGAATAATGAATAAAATCTTACAAGTATTTCACTTACAGGATTTCCAAACCAATTCTTAAGATATATTGTGTAAAGTACGACTATCCCTCTCCTCAAGTATTTTTAACACAGACAAAAACCTTTGCTCCTACAAAATCTCCTGCGCAAATTTCACTTTGGAGCACACATATCAGATGTTTATCACTCTGGCAAAGGCTACCACTGCCACTGATGCGTTGTTCTGGGCAGCTGTGAATTTTGCCAGATTAGAGTCATGAATATGTGAAACAAGAGTGAAATTGGGACCAACAGGGAATTTAATGTGTGCACTTAGTTATTTCCTATGTTTTCTATATGCCCAATAAGACTGAAAGAAAAAAAAAGAACAAATTATCAATGCATTTTGAAAGGCAGATGGGATTCACCAGAAGCTCCTCTGTAGCATAACATTTTTTGTACTGAGTCCAGGACTTCTGGATGACCTAAAGGATTTCTTTTAGAAAGGCATCCAATCCGGACTTTAAAATTCCTAGTTGTTCCAATAGTTAATTATAATTAATACTAAAAAAGAAGAAAAGACCAAAAAAAAAAAAAAAGAAAGTAAAAAGAAACTTCTAGCTGTTTGATCTGCATATGCTTTTGACTGCTAGGATAGAAGCCTCTGTAGTCAGAAATCCTATTCTTTTTTAGAAACTCACAGTCTATGATCATGGCAATTTTTGCCAGTTCCTTTACTTCACCAAAGTAATTTTGAAATGATAAAAGGCTTGCATACATTCAAGATGAGCTACAATGTGGGAGGAAAAAATTGTATCATGAGATGAAATTCAATTTTATTACAACGCACTACATGCTGGAGTCCTCACTCAAGTCCACTAAAGTCAGTAGGAATTGTGTTGAGAGAAGCCATCCAAATTTGCTCTAGATTGTGTTTGATAGCAGAAAATGAAGGAATGAAAGCAAGCAGGCAGGAAGGACCATGGTGATTCATAGATGTATTTAAACTTGCATCACACAGCTGTCAATATGGCATATACAGTTTTGGTATGCTGAACTCTCCGAGAGATGCAAAAGCAGAGACAGATATGTGGGAATGCTGTTACGGATCATATCAACAGGCCCCATAGCTTGGTACTTGGTATTCAACAGCAGCCAGAAGCTAGGTGTGTTGGAATCTTAATAGTAAAGATAGGAATAAGATGCATATAGAGATGTTTCTGACTTACTCTAAAATTGGATGGATGTTTATGTCCTGGATTAGCAAGGATTATCCAGTGCATAGATTATTATCCTACCGTAAAAATGTTGTTACTAGTAAAATAATTCATCCTTTTTTTGCAATTCTTTAACTTCAATTTCTCATACTAATGAGTTCCATAGAACATTAAAGATATGGGAAAAGATTTTCGCTTGCTAGCCTTCTTTATGCTTTTCTACCATCTTTAGATGTTGTAAAAAGAATAAATATGAACAAATAAATCACTTTAATTACAAAATAATTTTTGTTGTCCTTCAGTGTGTCTCCTGTTGACTTTTTTGAAAATTGTCAGTTTTCAAAGTATCAATGCCCAGACATCTTACTACATCTCTGTTTATTTTTGTGACATTTTTCAGACATGATCATTTCAGTAGATAGAAACAGACAGGAGGAGATCACAGCTGAAAATGTTGTATAATATGCATGGTTCTCATCATATTATGTACTAATAGAACTGCTACCATCATGAGTTTTAAAATACCCTAGTACAATCCAAACTGTTGACTACGGCTGGAGAGGAAGAAGAAAATATCAATTCTGTAAGAAATTATGTGAATTTTTTTTTTCCACATTGATTTTTCCTATAAAATATAGCAGGATGTCTATTGAGTTTAGGTTATTCTGTCTGCGATACATTGCTCCAAATTTGAAATGATAAAAGTCTTGCATACATTCAAGATGAGCTACAATGTGGAATTTCGTCATCAGAGAAGCTGATTGACTCTTTCCTTCCTAAATTGTTCTTAGACATTTCCAGTGAGAGCTATTCTAAATCAAGCTATTTCAATAGCATATTTTGCCACCTTTCAGCTTATTAACTACGTTTTTGTAAGTACTTAAGTACTATAATAAAGACAAGTCTTTACAATAAAGGTCTTTCAGGCACCTTCTTAATTAGAGGAGGAACATTTTATGGCATGAGATACTGGACTAGAGTTTACAAAAAAGGTCATATTTCTTTTTTACACAGTCTTTCTCTTCAGTGATAAAACATGTCTCTGGGTTTCAGATCTTTGAACATAAAATAGACTTACTTTTCCCAGACTCACAGGAATGTTAGAAAGATAATTTGATCAATATATGCAAAAAAATCTGGATCTAGCAACGTAAGTGTAACAAAAAAGATAATGCTACGTAGTGTGTATTGAACCTTACATTTACCGTTTTTTTAAACTTTATTTTTATTTTAAATCTATTACTAAACTATGAAAAAACTTAAGTGTTTACCATACATCTGCTTAAACTCTGGACTCAAGAGGGAAGACTGGACAAACATAAATTTTCTTTAAAGGGCTAGTTTGACTCCATAATTTACAATCACCTCTTTACTTCTGACTTCTGTCAGGTTACCTAGCACTAAAATGGAATTCAGATACCTCAGTCATTTTGCTGTGATTTTTTTTTCCTAACCAATAAATAAAACATTTACTATCCATCATTTCCCTGGAAGATTTTTATGAAATATATTTCTTTTAGTAACTCAACACTAGATTTGGAAAGACAGGCTGGTTTCTAAAAGGGCCTAGTGGAGGATTCTAGAGCAACTAATTCTGTTTGAATCATTGAATATCTCTCTTGAAACTACTTGCATCTTTAGTTAAATAAATATTTCTATAATTCCTGGTTCCGTCATTTGTAGTTAATAATTCTGTCAAAACAAGCATGGACAGAACAAGCATCAGTGTTGTACTTTGTATGTATTCACAACTCATGAATGAATCTTCTTGGTTGGAGTGACTTACCATTCTGTACCTGATTCATCTTTTCTGATCCTAAGATCTGACAATATGTAATCTCTGTTACTTTCCACAGATTCATTTTTAAAGCAATGGCTTCAACATCCATTGTACTAAGACTGCTGAAAAGAAACCACATAATGTGTTTGTAATGCACCCCTAGTCTTTCTTACATTACCTCTATGCCTGCGACTGGCTACTCTTTAAAAACTGTGTCTCACAACTGTTCACTGTTAATGTTTATTCTTTTCTGGTTTGTTTTGGTTTGATTTTTTTCTGTTTATTTTCCTTTTTGATGAGCACTTGGATGGAAAATAATTTTTACACTCACTATATGGATGTTTTCTGTATGACTTTCTTTACTGTACTTTGCCTGGCTATGCTTGTCATTTTAAACTTGATAAGTTTAAAATACCTATGTGAAAGTCAAAAGTATATTGATTTCCTGTGTTCAGTTTTTTAAAATTTTAAAATTGTATTTCATCTGTCATTTTACAGCTTTTTAGATTCTACTTGCTCTCTGAATATCCTGAAATAAATTATTCTGTGTTTACTACTAAGTGACCCATGCATACTTACCACTTGAACTAATTTATGAGTGATGTCAGGGAATAAATCAAATATTTTCCAGTATTTCTTAGTATGGTCTACAAAATTTTTAAATGTTCTACAAAAAAAAAAGGACAAAATGCAGAGATAGAGCTTCTCTAAATCTTGTTACCTGAGAAGACGTACCATGAGCAGGTAGGCTTTACCTACTCTTCACTTATAATGAAATAAAATATTTTTTTTTAATACAATTGATGTTAGAATATAGAGATTCTTTGGCTGGTCACCTTCTATAATGTAGACGCACTCTCTGTCAGGAGGATACTTGTTGGGGTAATTGGGAGAAGTGAAGATGCCTCCTTCTGCATATTTTGTCCAAGTTCCACACTGCACTGGTTTCTGTCCTTCGGAAGTAGTTTGCTTCTCTGTGAAATGATCACATTAAGCATTATATAATTATCTCACAAATTATTATGTCCCTATGACACTTACAACTCCCCTACAGAATAAAACAGTCCCTTCTGTCAGTGGCCTTTGCTTTTTTCTTTCTTGAGACTAAGATTCTGATCATTGACCCAGGGTAAAATAAGGCTGTTCTTTCAGGAATTGTACAAATGTACAATTCCTACTCAAAACACCTTTTCAAAGCAGAGAAGAGGCTTCGATATCTAAAGGAAGATATACTTATGTTGCTTTTTATATAATAACCCCACTCGCGTATATGAAAAGACTCAGGTGTGTGCTCAGCAAGCTACATGCCTTAATACAGGAACACATCAGAGTCGCAAAATCAAGAAAAAAAACACAGAATTATGACAGAATTTAAGAATTCCTTTTAATTTGCAGCAGCTTGACTCTATATTCAACAGACAGAGATGGGTGGGGGAGTTCCTGGATTCTGGTTCATAGGTTATCATTATTTTTATCTTACTGTTTGCTGTAAAATTAATAAATAGCTCCAGGGCCAGGAATCACAGCCCAGATCTTTCCTCTTCCAGGTGAATCATCAGGGAGCAGAGAGTCAGAACTTCTTGTTTGCTTTCTTCCTAGCCATGAAACTCTTGCGCTCCTTTCTGCACATTGGCAGAGAGCCTGGATACAAAGGTTTGAGTTTGTTCAGGCTGAGGAAGAATTACTTCCTGGGCATCATACTTTAACAAGTATGCTAAAAGATTAATTCTTTGGAGAGAAAAACATATAGGCTGGTAATAAAAGGAAGGATAATAGGTTTCAGACCTCACCCAGGTGTCCAAAGAAGACTCTGTGTTTTGCTCCAAATGAGGTACCTATCTCTATCCAAAGAGTGTCCCATCCAACTTAAGCCTCTGATGTGTAGATTTGAGTTGTTTGAGGCTCCCTCTTATGATCAACAGGGGGAGACAGGAACTTTCCAAGAATGATTTTAACTGAGATCTGCCTTAATGCTCTGCAAGTGTTTCTCTTTCTTCCTGCTCTGCATCCAAGCCGAGGATGACAAGGATTCTAATTTCCTGAAATTCAGGCCTGCAGGGACTGAGCATTCAGACACAAATTCAGACACACATCGTGCTTAGAAAATCTCTTTTCTTGACTCTCACCACACTTAGCATCCAGGCGTTTTAAGAACTTCTCTCTGTTCCCACCCTGCACAAATGCACCCATAACACCCAATTTTGGATTTTGAATTCTACTTCAACAAGCAAAAAGATCGTAAGAGTAGATGGTTTGGTGGCCAATCTGGACTTCACAGTTTGAAAGTGGGGACACTTTACAGTCTTTCGAGTCAGGCTGAGTCTTTAGGTAGATCTAACTGTGGATCAGGTCACTAGCATGTTAAAAAAAGTACCAGCGGATTTTTGTGTGTCTATAGGCACACTAATACTCAAAACAGATGAGCACAGGACAGGCACTAGAAATAGGTGAACTACCAAAAATGTCAAGACCTGAACTGACAATGTAAATCCGTACTCTGGACTCTAATATAATGTCTGAAAAAATGCATGAAGTTTACGTACCTGTTCCTTTTTTTGTTGCCCCAGACAGATGAAGGATGATTAGACTTGCTACAACTGAAAGAAAAATGTACATTAGATACCACAGTATGATAGTGTCTGCAATTAAATCAACTGTTAACATCTATCTTAAAATAATACATTTAAACAGAATTACTGTAAAATGCCCAAAGTTTCATGCTTATTTGAGTATTTTAATCGCGTATTTTGTATAAACACAGCTCCTTGTGATCTGTTCTTGTAAGCAGTTATCACTGTAAATGTATGCAAACAAAGAGATCTTCCAGGTTTAAAACAAAATCCCCAAGCACTGATGGTTCCCTCCTATTTTTTTCTTTTCTTAATATTGGAGGAAAAAGTTTTTTCCAATATTTATTTATGTAATCATAACTTGGGCTGGTAATAGAAAAGTGGCTGCTTTTAATAGAGGGAGACAAAGGCCTGCTGAGTTTCAGTGCAATTGGTCTCACATGTCTCTTGCTATGCCACAATAAAATTTGAAAATGAGTACTGGGAGTATGAAAGAAGTGAGGGGTTGGGTTCTCCACATCCATCAAAGCATTCGCAAATCCCCAGTGAAGTAAATTATTGTGTGTGCTTAAGAGTCTCATTAATCTAGTTTGTTTGACTTGTCGAAAGGATGTTGCTTTGTGCTGCAGTGAATCTGCAGCCCATTTTCCTAATAGAAACCTCCTATCTCCAGCCATGATAGCGCAGCTGTGCCTCTTGGGTACAGATGTGGCCTTTCTTAGATGGACTTCACCCTGGAGACAATTCCTGAGTTTCTACGAGTTTCCAAATACAACATTTTAACTAGAAAAGACTAAGAGGCAAACATGCAGGTTGGTTGTAATGAGACTACTGGTAGATCACAGTGACTAACTAGCTACCTCATGAAGAAATCATGCACTGATGATAGCATTTTCTTGTCATCACCCATATCTTCTTTGGCTGTTGGAGAAAGCGGGATAGCAGGAGCAGAAGAGAACAGATCCATCAGTTCCTGGAGCGCTCGGGCTTTTGAACCCAACTAGTTTGGCGCTGAGCCCAGACATAGTGCCCAAATTGCACTGAAGTTAAAGTGGAGATGAAGTTGCATGTTTATTCTGAGTATATTGGATGGAACAGCTGCCATTTGTATTGTTGACTATGATGAGGAATTGATGGACCTGTGGTCTTCAGCAAAGGTCACTGAATGGCACACTTTCCTCTTCCTATTGTCGAGAGACATCAAAAGGCATCATGGGCTAATAACTGGCTTCCTAAATGATCCTTTGAGAAATGAGGCTTGCATTGTTTTCAGCTTTGATACTGAAAGTTGTGTGCAATTTTTACCCAGAAGGAAGCCAGGAGCTTCGTATCTCCAGTATTTTGATGGCATTGAGATCTCTATTTCTATGCCTTTGACCCCTTGCCATGTGACAGAGGGTTGGAGGCACGGGTGGCGTCTACCTTATTAAACAGGAAATTCTGAAGCGCTGGGAAAATGAAGGCTTAGCAGCATATTCACCATTTCTTCGTCAGGCTCACAGCCCTGTGCCTTTTTGAATCCCCCAGCTAACAGAGACGGATGTTGGCAGAGTGGGCAGTTAAAAACTCTTCTGTGTCATGGGCATGCAGTGAGAACATTACACCTTCTGCTCGCGTCTGAATGCTACCCAACCATTCATGTCCTTGCTCTCTTCAGGGATGAATTCTGGAAATACATGCAAGCTGGGACACTGCCCACCAGCTGTGTCAGAACCTGAAGGCAATGAAGGATTCGCCCATTTATTAAGTCGCTGATGTACTTTAGCTGTGTTTCATGCAGTGAACACACTGCATCCCTGCCTGTAATCGTCACCAGTCAAAACCTAATTTCTCAATAGCGTGAGGCGGACTGGTGTCAGAATATGGAGCCAGCTGCCGCCGTTCTCTCTGCCCACGAACTAATGGAATCTAGAACAGGAGGCACAGCAGCTAAACAAACCCTATGTGAGAAATGCTGCTGCTTAGGCAATTAATAACAATTTATATCTGATTCTTACAGATTCGCTTCAAGCACTGTTGTCTGTTAGCTCTCCCCTCCTTTTCTTTACAGAAAAAATGGAAGTTCAGAGAAGTGAAGAGAGTTGGTCCAAGTCACAGAGATATTATTAGAAAGGCAACAGAAAAAATACAGGTCTTTTCAATTCCAGCTGTAACCGCTAGAAAGGGTGCTTCCAAGTTGAAGAGCCATGTTATTCCAAAGCAGGGAGCTATACTTACATATGTCAGTAATCATTATTAATAAGGAGTCAAAATCATCTTGATAATAAAATGTAACAGACAAGAAGAGACTAAGAGACTAAGTTTTTTCTGGACATATCACATCGAACATTTCAATGAGGTCAAATACTTCTCTCATATTTCAAAAAAAAAGATAAAGCTTCTTGACTTAGTGGCATTAACACCAACGCCACCAAAATCTGTATTGCCAGAAAGCAATTTAAACTATGGGCTTTATGGGAAAAGGTAACACAATGTTTTTTACTTAAGCAGTCAAGGCAGTCTGTTGTATTCTACATCTCCTTGCCTTTTTCTTTCTCAAGCCACAGGAATAGATCAGTGCTTCTCACAGAGAGGAAAAAATAAAAAAAACAAGATCCCAGAGAGGGCAATCACGCAATCTTCACTCATTCAAAACCGTCACTCAGGAAGCTTTGACAGTGCAGCAACAATATTGTGATTATCTGGGTTTGGGAATTGTTTTAAAGAAGTTTCCACTAAATTTCTTGTGTTCTCTCTGCCTTCCTCCTCCCTCTTTCCATCCTAATCAGTGGTGTAATTATAATCATGCTTTCTAGTGCCACTCTGATTACGCATCTTTGCATCTTTTAGGATCTGTGCGTTGTTCCATCACAAGCTGTGCACAAAGAGATGTATCTCTTGGACAGGCAGCTTTTTGGAGGCTGTGACTTGGCAGAGACACCGCTTAGCCTGGCAAAGAGTTGTTGGACAAGAAATACCTGGCCGCGGCGCTGCTATTTTACAGGTGCGGGCGTAGAGAGAGGTGCTGGGAGGAACTGGAAGAGGTGCTCGAAGGACCAGCCAAGCCCCTTCAGTAGAGCGGGCCTTCTGCAACACGGAGGCGGGGGTGGGGGTCCCGTCCACGCAGCCTGAGGCCCCTGGGGGGTCCCCTAGCCGCAGCTGTTAC